CTGTTTTTAATGAGCATCCGATCCAAGTAAATCAGTTAGAAAATCGCATGTTGAACGTTGGAAGGAGTTTGCTGATGTGAAATTCAAAAGGTCAAAGGTTACTTGTAGTAGATGACTTCAAGTTGGACATAACAGGAAGACATGTTCAAATTATCCTGTTAAAAAATAATTTCATGATTTTTACTTTTTGTTACACAACATGTTTTGTTTTATTGAATAAAATTGGTAAAATTAATATTTGAGTAATTGTGATTTCTTAATATTGTCCAACTATAAATAATATTGAAACACATTTTGTGTCCGTTTTCAAATTTTATTTCTATACTAATATATAGTTAAATAAGAATCGTACATAGTTCATACGAAAAACATATATATGAAACAACTTTTTAAACATATAATTGTTCAATAAAACTCTTGCTAGAATAGTTCATACATAAATCATAGATAGTTCGCACAAAGTTCATACATATGGATCAAAAAATATATGATACTTGTCGTATTAAAATGATAATAAATCAAAAATGTGATATTATGTTCATACTAGTAGTAATCAGACTTCATACATATTTCATCCAGACAGTAATCAGACTTCATACATAATCAATAATTGAAGAAAGATTATACAAAAAAGCCAACAAAATAGAAATGTAATGTCATGCCCATACAATTAGTAATAAGACTTCATACATACATCAATTTATATATCAATTAAAACATAATCCAAACACTGTCATTAAATAGACAACCAAATCAATTCATACACAAAGCATGAAATGAAATTCTAAGATACTTTCATACACAAATCATACAACAGTAATACATCAATGTATATATCAATTCATACAACATTTATACACAAGTCATACAAACTAATACATCAATCCACACAGAATTCATATGATATTAATACATATTACCAGTGTTTGAATGATGTTTGAATCGATATATACATTGATGTGTGTATGAAATCTGATTACTAATTGTATGGGCATGACATTACATTTCTAATTTGTTGGGTTTTTTGTATGAAGTCTGATTACTAATTGTATAGGCATGACATTACATTTTTAATTTGTTGACTTTTTTCTATGAAGTCTGATTACTAATTGTATGGGCATGACATTACATTTCTAATTTGTTGGCTTTTTTGTATAAATATTTCTTCCATTATTGATTATGTATGAAGTCTGAATACTGTCTGGATGAAATATGTATGAAGTCTAATTACTACTAGTATGAACATGATATCACATTTTTGATTTATTATCGTTTTAGTATGACAACTATCATATATTTTTTGATCCATATGTATGAACTTTGTACGAACTATGTATGAACTATTTTAACAAGAGTTTTACTGTACAATTATATGTTAAAAAGTTGTTCCACATATATGTTTTTTGTATGAATTATGTACGATTCTTGTTTAACTATATATTAGTATACGAATAAAATTTGAAAACGGACACAAAATGTGTTTCAGTATTATTTATATGGATAATATTAAGAATCACAACTACTCAAATATTAATTATACCAAATTCATTCCATAAAACAAAACATGTTATGTAATAAAAAGTAAAAATTATGAAATCATTTTTTTAACAGGATAATTTGAACATTTCTTCCTGTTATATCCAACTTGACGACATTTACTACGAGTAACCTTTGACCTTTTGAATTTCACATCAGCAAACTCCTTTCAACGTTCAACATGCAATTTTCTAACTGATCTACTTGGATCGGGTGCCATCAATTTAGGCTTTGAAATATAATTGGGTATATCTCACATACTCTCGCAGGGGATAGGTTCAACAGGGATGACATATGCACCTCTAAAATTCTTCAGGCTATAAAAGACAGAATAGAAATATGTTTCATGCAGTTTCTTGTATCTAAGAACTGCAATTACATGATCACATGGTATTTCATAATGGTGAAATCTCCCGCAACTACACACCTTGTATTTAAATTTACTATGTACTTCTTTGGTCCTTCAACAAGAACATTCGTATCAATCATCGATGGTATTACCTAACATGGAAAATTAATGTTCATTAAAAACAATTCCAAAAAAAATATGTCATTGAAAAATAAAATAAAAATATTTAATATCAAAATAGTACACCTTTCATACTATAAATGTCAAAAAAAATAATACAAACATTGCTTTACAAATCAGAAACAGACAAAGAAACTAGCATTTCATATTTCGACCAATATACTAATTTTTTTACCAATAATTCCATCAATATTACACTTATTCACAAATAACAAAAAAAATTACTAAACAAAAAACAAATATAGCTTTCATCATCACAAAAAAAATTTACTAAACAAAAAAAAAATAACTAAACAAAAAAATACAGTTTTCATACAGAATTATATTAACATTTACCTTCATATGCCAAACAGAAACATATATTCTAATTTCAACAAAAAAATAAACTTCATACATAATTAATACAAGTTTCATATAAGGTTCATACACGATTAATACAACTTTCATACTTCAACGATCCACATAATTATAAATACTTATTTTTTGACAAGTAACTAAATACACTGTACCATCAAACTCATTTTTTATATTTTGTTCATAAATCAAGTATTACGCGAATCTTCAATTTTATTAAAACTCAAACACATATACATTTACAGCTGTTTTTCAGATACGGTATATATACCAAAACATTGTTTCATCCCCAAAAAATAAGCTATAATCTATATCAGATCTTAAAATAATAAAAAAAAATCGACACAATGTTTTCCATGTTAAAACCCACCAAATCATAATCAAAATCAACAAATCATAATTAAACCAACCTGATGAATTCCACATTCCACCATTTTATTAATATCGACACAATGTTCTCCATCATAGCAAATCAATTTTTTTCCAACGTCAAAATTTCTTCAATTGGTAAAAAAAAAACGAACTGATATCTGCTGCAAATCTGAAAGAATAGTGAAAATTGGAGGAAAAAAAATAGTTTGTACGTTGATGTCAATTTGTTAGAGCTTTTTAAGGAATTAAATCAAAATTTATTCTCATTTAAACTAATTTGAGAGATTTAAGGCAACTAACTAATCTGAATATTTTTTAAATTTCCTTAAAACGTGTTAATCAATTTACACCAATTAATAATTGTATTTAATTTAGTAATAAAGGATGTCATTTTTCATTTATATTTTTGTTAGTTTTTTTATTCAATTTTTTTTAAAACAATTTTTTTAATTATTTCAAATTAACATTAAGTTTATAATAATATGCTATAGCTTGAGATATTAAATGTTATATATTGAAATACAAACTCTAATGTTATATCTTGAGAATATTACTATAGAATATGCTATATACCTAATTTACACGTAATAAATTACTTAAAAAAAAGATGGAGGGGGTAATAGGACCTCATCAAATATAAGGTGTGTCGTAGGAATTTCGGGTATAGGCTAGGGGGTAATTGAGTATTACCCATTTTTATATAATATTTGATTTGCAATTTAAAGACTATGTATTTAATTTATATAGAATAAAAGGGTGAATTAGTAATACTTGGTATAACTAATCCTTTCATGAAACAATACCTAAAAATTTTCATAACTAATTCAAGATATCTACGTAACTTTAAGTCTCTAACCATATGCCAAATGACCCCATCAAAAAATCTATATATTATTTTAATGCATATATTAGTTATTCACATAATAATTATTTACGCCTTAACTAAGATAATCCCTTTTTTTAATAACTTATATGTATATTAGTTTTAATTATTCAGTTTTCTAATTTACTAATTTTTATCATGATAATTTTATAACTAAGTAACTTACCTTCCAAACCAAACAACCAACCAACAAACATAGTATTTCTTCATACGTTAATTCATTTTAATGAAATTTCTAGCTCAGTTACTATTGCTTTCGGTAAAAAAAAAAAAAGATACACATTATTTTTTTAAAAAAAATTAGAATAAATAATGTAAAAAAAAGAAAAAAAAAAAAGAAAAGAAAAAAAAGGGCCTTCTTCGCCACTAGCGGTGTAATTGGGAAATTTGGTGTATACCGATGACCGAAACCCCTTTTCCCTTTTTATGCAATGATTTCTCTGAAACCCTATAACTCTTCAACTTCTCTAAAATCATCCATTTTCTCAACTTATCACTACTTCTTCCTTTAACTCTGCAGATTCAGGTGAAAATTTTATCTTCTTCTTAATACTACTTATAAGTTTGATACTACTTGTGTTTGTTTCTCAACTTCATGTATTGATCACGGGTTGTGTTTAGTTTGCAATTTGAGGATAACCCATCTTGATTATAGATTGCTTTTTTCTACTTTTTGGGTGGTGGGGGTGGGGGTTACTGAGATCGGTTTTACAGTTCAAGAATGTTGGATTTTGATCTTTCACTCTAATCCGGAAGAGTATAGTTGATGTGCTTATTTGGTATTCTTTTTGCTTATATTTCGACTCACTTATTTTAGTTTTTGAGCCTTAAAACATCATCCATTTTGTTGGGTTTTTGGAGAAAGTTTCGTCTGTTGATCTTTGAAAAGGAGAAGAAAGAAGTTATCTTTTTTTAGTTTCAGCTGTGTAAGCAGAGACCATTTTGAAATTAGTCAAATTTAAACACTAAATGGGAAAAGGCTTTTTTTCGGCGATGAACAGCTGCTTTTTGTTGTTGAAAACGCTGATCTTGAAGTTGCAATCTTAGTGCTACTCTCTGTCTCCTTTATTTTTACTTACCTTATAAATAAAGTAGACATGTTTAGAAAGCAAACATGATGGTATGACATAGTTCTTATGGTTACTTTGTAAGAAAAACTAAAGCTTTTTGTTTGCTATGGGTAACTGAGATTACCTCTCTGGGCTTGAGTTTGGTTAAGTAGTTGATTGATTGAAGCTTAATTCTTATTAACAATCACAAATGGGGTTGTAGAGTATGGGGAGATGACCCTTTTCATTTTTTGGTGCAAGTACAGATGGTCGACGTCTGACGGAAGCTTGTTGAAGTGAGAAAAGACAATCTTACAGATTGAAAGGAAGGCAGTTTACTTGGTATAGACTAGTGCTTTCAGATCACAATTGTGACATGGCTGCAAAACCAATTGACGATACCATATGGAGGTAAATTGAAAACCTATAACTACTATATTATTCTTTTTCCATACTACCTCTTACCTCTTCTGGAGGAGGCATTGATGAAAGCTGCAACTGGATCTTATTCAGTTCTAGTATGATATCTGGTTATTCTCATTTCACAGGGGTAGTTTCATGATCTCCCGTCCAGAGATGAGATTGAATCTTACAGCCCATCTATCAAGTAAAGCGTGCGCAAAAGTATGGCTGGCAGCTAAAGAGATGGCGGAGGTGATCTATCCTGAATTCCTTCCTAAGCGTGATGTGTGGCCAAAGAGTTTTAAAAGTGCTAAACTGATTGATGATAATATTGCCATTTATTTCTTTTCAGTTAAAGGCAGGTATGGTAACCAACCTAGCATAAATCTTTGCGTCTTCTGTTATACCACCTCTAATCTTGGTATGGTTTTGTCTCAGAGATGATCAAGTTTTTGAAAATCTGCTGTATAATTTAAGACACTACGACATTGCATTAAGAGCTTTGGTTGGTGATTCTGAACTCCTGATTTTTACTTCTGCCCATCTGCCAGAAAAGCATCACAGTAATGTTTACCATCCCAAAGTCTTGAATAGACAAGCTTCTTAACATGTTCGACTAACCACACTGAAGTTGCAGGATTTGAGGGTAAAGTATATCTATGGGGCGTCTTTAGTGGAAGACAAGCTCCTCCTCAAGAGTCTCCTGATGATTGTTTTATTCATAATACCCGAGTGACACAAGCTTCAATCCCAAATTCAGCAAACGATGGGAAGGATAGAAGTTGCAAGGAATTCTCCAATAGGAAAGATCCTTGTAAGTCTAGTTTCAAAAAAAGAAAAAAGATCGTTGTAAGTCTTTGAGTAATTAAACTTGTTGGCTGCTTGCTTGTTATGCTCACCTGTGTAATTTAGCGAATATCACCTACATCAAGTAGTGTATCATTTTGCTGGATAATGTGGATAGCTACATTTGTTTGTTGTATGCATGTAACTTGAAAGGAAAATATTTTGCGATGCTAGCGGTTAAACTGAAGTTTGAAGATACATATGACATTAGGTTCATCAAGATGTTTTAACTGTTCATTTTGTTACTTCTTTATTTTCTTTTCTGATTTTTCTTTTCTGAGAATGAGTTTTCTGATTTGATTTTCTCAGTTATCATAGAAAATAGTGTTCACCTCATCTTATTGAGTTTGGTCATTTTATAGTTTGAATAATCAAGGGCCATCTTGAGGAGACATGTAGTTCTTGTCCTTCAAAATCAGAAATGGTTGCAAATGTGCGTGAGTTGGTAAAACAAGTGAAAAGAGAAGCTAGTGGAAATTGATAGTAAATGGAAAAGCAGAAAGGAAGATCTATGGTTGGGCTTCTCTGTGAGAAAATGTCATATAGGATGTGTAAAGGCCTGTGAAGCATGCAAGAGATCATTTAGCACTACAAAAGCTCACTAATCACTCAATACAGTTGTAAAATAGCCAATTGAAAATGACTGTTCATCAGTGTAGTTTAGTGCATCAGAAACCAGGAGTTTGGTGTAGTTCCAATAGTTAAGTCATATCTTGATCGACCTTTCCCTTCTTTCTAGAAACAATAGGTGCTGTTAGAAGCAAACATATAACTTGTTCGTGGCGATGTACTAAATACCACTAATTTAACCAACTGTATTACAGATACAAGACTAATGGTAATGTTTCAGAAAGATGTAGCTTAAGAAATTCCTTAACTTTCTTGTCATTTGTCATTTCTATATGAATTTAAAGTACTTCATTTATTGTCCATGTGCGAAAGAAATCTCCATTGAACAGTATTCGTATTTTTGTCCTTTTCCTATTCTTGTGTTTCTTTCTGGCCTCATTTCAGAGGGGATAGTTGAGTTTGTTTTAGGCACAATGTTAAATGTGTTCCTTATAAGCATTGTTTTACCTGCAATTGTTTTAACGGAAAAAGGATAAATATATCCTTGAACTATCATGACTGGTATCTAAATACCCTCTGGTATAACTTTTGGATGCTGATGTTCTTACCGTCTAAGATTTGGGGTATACATACCCTTTGTACTAATGGAACACGTGTCGTGATCTTTAATGGTTTAACCAAAATTTAATTAATTTTTATTCACAATTAGATAACCCACTTATCTTACACAACCCAACCCGTGACCCGAATTAAAAACCTCTTCTTCTTCTCCCGCAATCTAAACTAACAAAAAATCACAGAACTCAGACATTGAATTCATCTATGTGCTTTCGAGCAACAGATACACATTTATAGAGACTGAACTCTGTTAATTGATAATGTACTGAGAAATTACAACATCTAGAGCATAAGAACAACAGTAAAGAGAATTGACACAACCATTAACGCTATTGCAAACTAAATTTACAGTTACTACCATTACTCCAACCTGAAGACCACAATCTAAACACCGAATCCAAGTCTTCTCCTGGTGTGCTTTATGCATATGTATACATGTTTTCGATTCTTTCTTCAAAATAATAAAAAGTCAAAAGATGCAGACATTACAATTTTGTAATATAAACATATTTTCAACAATTGTTCATCAGCTTTTTGTGTATTTCCTCCCGCTCCGTCTTCTTGATTCTCTCCCTTGCCCAAAAACCCTATTCATCACACTCCTCAATTTCAATTTTCTTGTACCCTTAATAAAATCCCTTTCTTTCAAGTTCTATTTTGTCAAATTATAAGTGCATAGATCAGCCATTGTTGATGTTGGTAAACTGTTCCAATTTCTCTACCCCATTACAGCTACCACAAGGTTAGTGGCTGACAAATCGCACTTGAAGAAAGAAAATTGTGATTGTTTGTATATGTATACAAGAAACATAGACCAGCCTGAAATGATCCATAGTCGGGAGTAAGAAACAAAAATAAACATCAAAATTAGGTCCAGCCGCCCACAGAATCTTTTTTTAATTTTTTCAAATCCATGAACAAACCACTTAATTAGGGTGGAAGAAGTGTTATAATTCGGGTCATGGGTTGGGTTTAATTGTGTAAGATGGGTGAGTTTTTTAATTGTGGATAAAAAATTAGTTTAATTTTGGGTGGGATGTTAAGATCATGACACGCGTTCATCCGTTAGTGCAAAGAGTATATACGCTTTAAATCTTAGACGGTAAGGGTAAGGACATCAGTGTCCTAAAAGTGTAATGGAGGTTATTTAGATAGTGTATATGATATTTCAGGGGATATTTCTCCTTTTCTTGTTGTAATTATTACTAACCTTTTTCAAAGTACTAACCTTCCTAAATTTATTGGTAACCCTGTCTTGAATTTGGTTTCTTACTTGAGGAAGTTGGAAATCCGTGGTACAAAGTCAGATTCCTTTTTTTTTTTTAAAAATAGTTTTCAGGTGTAACAAGGATGCCCCTATCAGCATAGATGGTTTTATTTTATTTTGCCTTTGGGAATTTTTTTGGTACTATGTATATGATACATGATTGTTGTATATTAGCACCTTTGGTGCAAATCAATAATATTGAATAAAATGTGCTTTTTGTAACAACTTAAGCTCCTGGATGTGATGATTACACACTTCAGCATGATATAGTATCAGGTAGAGGTTCTGAGTTCGAGTGTCCTGCCACCCATTATAAAAAAAGAACATCCACGTGTTTGGTCTATGGAAAAGAATTAGGCCCACACATGAGGGGCGTGAGATGAGATTATATAATATTACTTTTGAATAAAAATTTTAAAGGAAAATTCACAACTACGGGTTACATACCAATTTGTTAGTGTCTATTTTGAACTTTAGTAGTGCTTCCATCACGCCCAATAACTAGTTTCTTTGCTTTTGTAACTTGCTCTTGTACTTATTCAATGCATGGATGAAAAAGATTTTTCTTGTACTCATCCCTTCAAATTTGAACTTTGAAGTATGATTTTTTTTTAAAATTTGGACATCCTCCTCTTGCTTTTTTGAATAAGCAGCAACTGCCTCAAAATCGGCTAGAAAGGGAAGACCACTTGATGACGCTTGGCAACATGCTACTCCAGTAGATGGAAAGAAGCAGAGGACAGTTTGCAATTACTGCGGATTTATCTCTTCCTCTGGAGGCATTACTTATCTTAAGACACATCTGGGTGGAGGTGATCCGACGGGTTCACTGAAGGGTTGTCCAAATGTACCACCAGAAGTCAAAAGGGTGATGAAAGAATGGTTACTAGGAACTATAAGAGGGGGGAAGGCCCCACAGCTACAGGAAATCAGGACTGACTTTGAAGGTATGTTTCTGAAAATAGGGATGCTTCTATGTATACTTTAATATGGAAAACTAGTTGTATCTCGACAGGAGTCTTTTGCTCCACAAAAAGATATTTATTTCTATCAGAATGAGAGAAACAGAAGTGTTCTGAGCACACTGTTTCTTGTCTGTCCCATAGCTTAATTTTGGATGGCTTGGAACTGCACTTTTGTAGTTTGAACAGGGTGTGCAGTTGGTGAAGAGCTTGTGTAGATTAATCTCTTTTGGCTCGTCGAAGTATTTTGCTGTTTGTAGATTGACTAGAGACCCTTCCATATCATTGTATACTTGCTGCTTCACACTTTTGATAGCAATTACAGCCAGTTCCATGCTTATAACAAAGGAGATTTTTCTTATGAGAAAGAGTTAAGCCAACATACATCAGTTCTGTCCTTTTAAGAGTACTACAATGTTCAATCACCATTATGACTTCAATTTACAACAATATACATCAAGTAGGATTAATACTAGTAAAAGCATTCATGTTTAGGTCTTATTGGCAATTCATCAAACACCTAGTGTGCATAAAACATTACAACCTTCTTTCTATGATGTTTCTTCATCTAACAGCCCTTCTTCTTGCCAACTAACGATACAACCGGTATTCGATAATATTCTCTCCCACAATTACAAGTTATATATCCCTTACTCTTTTTAAGTGTAAAACATAAAAGGACTCATTCGTATATAATACACTTATTTATTAATTCTAGACTAGACTGGACTATAAAATAGAAAAATGCATATAGAATAATCCTATAACTCTTCTTACTTGGCCCAATTGTATCACTCGACCTATAATTCTACCATTTAAATCATTTCTTCTTTCAAGAACTGTAACTCAGTGCTATTACTTGTACAAATGGTGGTTTCAACCTCACTATACCTTTCAATTACCAAGTTCAGAACATATTCAAGTGTGAGATGAAGAATTAACCTCTTGATAGCCAAATCTTGAATTTCAGATTTCATGGTGTTCTTTACCAAAAAATGAAGGTTCAAGCAAGAATCTATAATCCTAAGGTTTAATCTTGTTATGAAGATTCGGGAGTTGAAACTAACTCAAAACACCATTAAAACTCACCTTGGAGTGTGTTCAAGTTTTGACGAACTCCCTTTCTCTAGGACATTTTTCAGACTTGGGGAAATGAAGAAATGGGCCCCAACTAGCCTTTAAAAAGGCCTCAGTTTCCTACGTGGCCTACACAGCCCCCTACGTGATCCATGAAGGTCTTTTTGGTTGCGTAACTGCTCTACTACTCTTCAGTAAAAAGGCCATAACTCCTTATACTAATGTCCAAATGACAAACAGGTTGAAGCATTGGAAACTAGTCTTAAAGAAATTTAAAAATGATAGGTTATGCACCACATAGCTGTTTATATCCATGGAGATATTTTGATTGACGTTGGGTCTTGTGCAAGCTCATTTAATCCGTTACGTAGTTCCCTACTTGGCTTTGTTCTAGGGCTCTCCTTACACCGTTAATCTCTTCTAAAGTTCTAATACACCTTCCATCCTCATCGTCATGTCCATGTGATAATATACTAGTCTGTACCCTCCTTTTGGCACATAACATTATTTCTGGTCGTCGTCACTTTATTTAATCCTATCTGTTCAAGCCTTGGTGGACAAAGTGACCTCTATCGGCGGAAGGTACCAGGTACCTCGTTGTATTAGTCGAGTTGCTGCTCCTGACACCACGATTATAAAATAAGTGAGGAGTTGAAAAAAGGCACTTTCGGTTCTATCCACTTTGTTGTAGATTTGTTAATGCATATCAGAAAGAGAGAAAAGCAAAATATTCACTGAGTGCGAGTTGGATCATTCAATTTTGGCTATTAGAATGTTCTCATTTTGGATAGTTTGGAGAAAATTTTCAGTCAGCATTCACCTCGTAGAGGTGAACTCTTTCTACATCAATACTTTGTCAGAAAAAAAGAGGAAATGCATTGGAAATATGTGCTATGGAAATTAGTAATCTTTCATATGAAGAGCCACTCCTGATATACGAGGTCCGAAAAAGGCTGAGCACATCATGCTTATTGTACACAACCTTATTTTGCATTTATGCAAGAGATTGTTTCCACGGCTTGAACTTGCAACGTCCTTTTAAAGTCAAATCCAAGACTAGTTCATTTCCTTGTGAAAGTTGGAAAAGATTATCCCACGAAAATGGACAAGTGCTTTAACTCTTTTTACTGGGCTTGTTTATTAGTTCAGCTTGCTGTTTTATTTGTCTTTGCTATTACATAATTTTGGTTAATTATATTCCCTCTTCCTCTAAGGGAGGAATAACAGAGTCGTCTTTGCACATTTATGTACATCAATGAATTTCCTCTTGAAATTTTGACCACCACCTTTGTACAGTGCATATGGAAGTGGCATCCTTTCCTGCATGTATTTGCTAAAAAATTTATTACGGGTTCGAAACAATTTGTTTTGTTTCCATCACACACAATTATCCACTTTTTTCTTTATTTTTAATATACCCCAAAAAGATTTAAGGTTATTGTGCCAAGATTGCTCCTGCTTTCTTTTTTTCTTCTGTTTAAACTTTTTTCTAAATACGCCCTCTCTCAATTAAGATTTAACTCAGGGTGCTATTGTTTGTACCTTCTTCTCTAAATTAGCAGTACCTGCATCCAAAAAATCAGTTAGAAGGGGAAGGCCACTTGATGCTGCCTGGGATTATGCTACACCAGTTGATGCAAAAAGACAGAGAGCAGTGTGCAAGTATTGCGGTTTCATATCTTCTTCTGGAGGAATTACACATCTTAAGGCACATTTGGCTGGAGGTGATCCAAAAGGGCCCTCAAAAGGTTGTCCCAATGTGCCGCCTGAAGTTAAAAGGGCAATGGCAGAATCGCTCAACAGAACAGTTAAAGGAGCGAAATCCATGCAGCCAGATGAGATCAGGAGGTACATGAAAGGTATGTTTCTAGGGATATAACACATTCAGAACATGCTTTCATGAGGAAGTGTGCAATATGTCGACGAAGTTTTTTGTACCATATATACAACTATAATATATCTTTTAGTCCCCAAGAAAAACGAAGGGTTCTTGAAAATTTTAGAAGTAGGTAACTCTTTAGTTTACATAGAAATTTGCACGTTTTCTTGCTGTACATATTTAGTTTTCCTTTCTTGATATAATAACTACTTTTTCAAATGTTTCAGCGGAAAATGATTGGTCTCCTCCCAGGTCAGATGACTACTCGTTGAATCAACATAGAATTGTCAAGAATGCTCAGTACTCACATTTTGCCAATGGGAATTCTGTTAATGATATGACCCTGTCAAAGCAATCAGAGACTGCACATGTTGATAGTTATATGGAGGTTATGAGTTCTCACAATGCTTGTAAGTCGAGCTTCTTAAGCAAACCTTCAACTCGAGTAGGTTTTATTTAACGTGTGCATCAGTAGGTTGAGGACTAAGAGCTAGGAAGTCGCTTAAATCTAATGGTGGGTACATGCTCCATTAATTTATGACATGACAAAACATACATGAGGACAGATGAAAAAGTTGATTGTGCTACTTTATCAACAAAGAGGTTCTTTTGATGTACAAACACCTTTTAACCCAAAGCTTGACAACGACAACATGGTGACATTGCTTGTGATTATTGTATCTATGTATTTATTGCGACGTTCCCTCCAGTTTGGAGTGATTTTGCAGTTCTATTAAACAGGTTGAGAATCTCCTCTTTAGTGTACGAACATTTGAAAGTTCTGAAGTTGATACTTGCTCAGAAAACTTGGTTGATACTGAATTGAATCCGACATTATCTTACACTCAGGTGTTTAAAGATGCAAATACTCTTTGCATATCAGTTGGAGATGAACGTATTTTAGATATTGCATGACAGGTTGATCGTATTTCGTTTTTGGTCATGAGTCTGGAGATGAACTTATTTCAGATATTGCATGACAGGTCGATCGTATTTCGTTTTTGGTCATGAGTAGTCTCAAAGGCTACTATTATCTAGCTTTATTGTCACATCTATATGTGAAATGTGCAACATTCTCAAAGCTTGTATCTTTTAAAAAAAGCATTTCATATATGTATTTGTTCCTGAATGTCTAGTTCTGGAAATGCACGAGTAGATCCAGACGTTAATAATAACAAAAGCATAAAAATGAGTCTCGACATATGCATACGACAATGGAAGAGAAGCAAACTTGAAGTTGGAATTGTTTGAACTTTAGATCTCTGGACTTTTTAAGTTTAGGTTTTGACAATTCCAACTTCAATCCTGTATTTCTTCATCTTTTTAGAGTCTTCCATTTTCTCAAATTACTTGTTGATTTATTCATGATTATGATCGTTATTGTCAAAGACTTTGTTGTGTTTGAAGCATGAATGTAATTAAGAAATCTTAACATTATTTATTTATCAAAGAATTATTAATATTGATAAAAAAGAAATATAAGTGAATTGATTTTTGATCCTCAAAATATTTAATGATCCAAACGTCAAGAGTATTTGAAGTTCATTTTATCCCTCCACTTTTAGATACTTGTAATCCAAGTCTAATTTTCGTAGTGCTACCTAGATACATGTCGTTAGTCGTTGAGCATTGAATCAGTTTCCGTCTCAAACAACACAGCATAGGAATCACAAGTTACAAAATAACGTAAATTAATCAACTCATTTATTGTGTATCTAACAAGTTAAAGATGGGACTATAAAAAGATAAGAGTCGAGTTTTGAAGTATCATCTGGAATTGCAACTCAATTAGCTTTGAGTACATGAGCGCGATATTCTCCCAATGCCCAAATAGGAAATATGTTCCTATATGCAGAATATGATATCATGCAGTTCCTATTGAAGACTCCCATGATCTCCTGAAATAAATAAAAGACAATCCATAAGTAAACCACTCTGAATCGGTTTTCAAAACAATAAGTAGGAAACACGCGAATCATGGGGATCTTTGTGGCTCATTTGGTTGGCTATCTAGACTTTCATCTTGTTAGTGAGGCTTGATCAACGACGTACCCCCAATTTTTATAGGCAAGTCATAGTGACTGGACTTTAGCCCTTTGATTATATTGGGTCAATTGAGGTTAAAAGAAAATAAGACTATTAAGTTCTGCATGCAACCTGTTCATACACAATTTGGATATGAAAACAGCTCCATTACCAGTTTACTGAATCCGCTGCAGCCTCAGAAATGTAAATTAGGATTTCAAACCATCAAAATTTAGGTGTGCAGCTGTTAATTCAAGTTAAGCCCTAAACTCTATCCAGGAGGCACAGCCCGATTTAAAACCAAATCAAAAACTAAAGCAACCTTTTAACTTGAAAGTCCAAAAGTAAAAAGAGGCTACACTCTAGCAGGCACTAGTTCTTTATACCATAACAGGCAATTTTGAGATACAAAGGTTAGAGACTACAAAGTTACCTGCTGAGGGTAATCTCCATTTTCTTGCTGAGCATTTATTAATTCTTTTGCTGCAGAGTGTAATGGTGTTGGATTTCTCTCAGCCTGCAATTGTTAAGGGGTAAAAAGTAAACTTCAGCAGAAAAAAGAGGCTGATTTGCAATATAGTTCCACATCTCAACAATCTACAAGGATGTGTTGTGCATAAAGGCATGACAACCCTCGGTCATTATCACAAAGCAGAAGATCCAATAGTTATGAAGGTATACAAAATATTCAGCTGAGAGGTGTGAGCAGATCCAAGATATTGCTGGAAGATTTCTACGTCTAAAATTTTCAAATTAGGAATAACCATGTAAATCAACTTACTTGAGTATGCCCAATGCTTCACAAAGGTCTTCACTAAGATCCCGTCAAAAAGAACAATTTAACACTAAAGAATTGTCAGGAGACGGAATGAATGATGGCTATCTAAATACAAAATTACCCTTACAAAAGCACAATCATTAGAAGCCTCAAGAAATGACTATGGCCAAGTGACCTTCTGGCACCACCGCCAGTTCACTATTTATCTCCCCACCCCACCATCCTTCCTCCCCTTAGAATGAAAGAGAGTGAGAATAGAGAAGGGTAAACTATCAGCATTATTTCAGAGGAATGACAACTTTACCAGAAGGGTAAGCATTTGAAGAAAATCGACTGAACCTGACCCATGATTGTAGATTTCGGTTGGGTTGGTCTTAAAAAGTGGAAAAAACAAACTGAGTGTTGGTCATATATGTTCCTACAAGCTTTCTTTATTTCCTATAATTTAGTATATTTATGTTTCAATTTCTCCTCTTAGGTCTTTACTTTAGTCTCTAATGGGGTTCTTATTGCTATATGTTTTCCATGGTTGAAGGAATTTGTATCTTATACGTGTTATTATAATTATCACATTTGGTTTGATGAGTGGAATAATTGTTAGAGCCTCTTCAATTAAAGGTATGCTCTTAATTCATATTTGCATTACTGTAGGTTAATTTGTTTCTAGTATTTTTACCATTTCTTGTGTTTTCGAGCTTTTTCTTCAATATTAGTAATAGTTTTCAAACAAAATTTTGTTTAATTTTCTAAAACTGATAAACTGAACAAAACCAGTATACCTAGACTCCAACAATATTTATCTTCAATACTCATGGTTAGAGTCTTGTCTGCCTTTATGATCCAAACCATGCAAACTAATCAATGTATCGATGTTATAGGAAGTCTCAGTCACTATTGGCTCCAGAACATTTTTCTGAGAATATAAGATAGTCAACAACAGCTTGGTCCCTCCATCTTACAATTTTCATCCATGAAGGTACATAGCAATTGTCATGAGGTCTTTATCTCTCCAGAAAATTACACAGGGCATTGGCAGAAGAAAGCAACAAATTAAGGTTTCAAACTAGTTCTTTTAATTTCCTATGTGAATTTGATAATGAAGAACATCTATTTCCTTGTCAACATTACCAATTCAAAAAAAAGAAGAAAAAAGGAACATCTATTTCTTTGTTCAATTGAAATGAATATATTTTAACTATTTATTGTTACTTACAGTTCTGACAATCATGTAGGGGTCAAAACTTTATTATTACCTGTCCAGCAGCAATTAGAGCCAGCATAGCCCATGCTGTATTTACAACATGAGATCTGTTGCCTTCAAGATTTGTATACACCTGTAAGGAAGACGAAGAAAAAAGAAGACAAGAATGAATGACTGGTAAGTTAATGTGTGTACAAGAGAAGAGAAGGCACAGATAACTCTCCCTACTGCATCTTATAGGACATATGATGAGCACCTTGATAGTATGAGGAAATATGTAGCTATTTAAGTCATACTGAGTTGTCTGAAATGTTTCTCACTGCATTATAAGATATGAACTGACAATACTCCTAACCCAAGTCTTTATTCATAATTATCTATGAATTTCTAACAGAGTCTACGTTGCTCGGACTCTTCACTTTTGGTGCCGCAACTCCTGTCAACACTACGTGGGTGTGGGATCCGTGCCTATCTTGGGTAATTTGACCAAAATTGACAGAAAATTCCGTACAAATTCAATAATTTCTATAATCAAAACAAAAGCTAAGGTGAAATTGAAGAAAATGGAATAATACCTTATATATAGGAGTTTCAACATCGCTCGGTTTCTTTTTATCTCCTTCTAAGATTCTCCTCTTGATCAATATTTTATCTTCAAATTTCTCACATAATATCTCATGATTTAGGTTTTATGACTCTAGTAAAGGATATTTGAATCACTTTTTGTTAAATCACCACACCTGTATCCATACTGGATCCAGAATCTTAAAATTTAGATCATGAAGGATCCGAACTCGTATCGAACACTCGCACCTAAGTCTGAGCAACATAGCATACAAGTCGTAGATCTGATCACTCTACCTGATTGTGTTTATAGTCAAATATCGTTGTTCCATTCTTAATCTTATCTCTCTCGAGTTTAATCACACGTCAACCTCAACATCCTCATTTCCGTCACTCTTCATCTTTCTGAAACATGCGAGTTTCTAACTGGCCAACACCCTGCTCCATATAACATAGTCGGCCTAATCACCATTCTATAGAACTTTTCTTTTAAGTTTTAGTGGTAGATTCTTATCACACATGATTACCAAAGTGAGCCTCCATTTCACCAACCCTGCACTAATATGATGTGTGACATTTGTTAAAGAATGACAAAAGTCCACATTGCTGGTTAATGAGATGGGTGGACTCCTTATAAGGCTTGGACAATCCTCCTCCCTTTGAGCTAGCTTTTGGGACGTAAGTTAGGCCCAAGACCTAATTTCACATGGTATTAGAACATCGTTTGGGGTCCCCAAAATCAATATTGTCAACGCACTAGATGCTAAGCACCGGGCGTGAGGTGGGGTGTTAAAGAATGACAAAAGTCCCACATCGCTGGTTAATGAGATGAGTGGACTCCCTATAAGACTTGGGCAATCCTCCTCCTTTTGAGCTAGCTTTTGGGATGTGAGTTAGGTCTAAGACCTAATTTCACAACATTATTGTTGATCTCCCCGTTACCCTAAATTAGAGATCCAAGATACTTCATCTCTCTTGGGGATGACATGTGTATCTAGTCTCACTCCTATCTACCCTCATGTGACACGTCACTGAACTTGCAATACATGTATTAAGTTTTCGTCCGGTTCAACTTGAACCCTTTAGACTCTAAGGTGTGTCTCCAAACCTCCAACTTAGTACTTTGTCGTGAGTCTCGTGGATTGTTTAGTTCTCTGGATAAGATAAGGTGAATAGCTTGTGAAGATAATGGATAGGTTTGTAACACTCGTGTCGATATTCAGTTTAGAACGAAATAAAGGCTGGAATAAGTTTGTGACTAAAGCTTCACTTACATAAATGATAAAAAATTAAAAAATAATATTACAATCAACGTATATCAACAAGCAGAGACTATTCATGAAAAATATTTATGAAACTATTACATGAAAAGATAGTCATAAGAAATCATTAATTCAGGGAAAAGTTAGAGCAATATGGGAAAAAAAACTATTTAACAATACGTGTAGCAGGTAATGGTGAGGAGAGAGATATAAGGACAAAAGGATCAGAAACGTCCTGTTATCCCATGGGGCCGGGAAGGGTAGAGGGGGTTGTACTACAATTGCATTCCCAAATCTAATCACAAAATAGCAGAAACAACCAAAAGAATATAATTTAATCCAAACTCATCCCACACCAAAATTTGCAAAGACCACTTTAGATGTTCCTAACTTGAAAGTTGCTGAGAGACAAGTTTCCAATGTTCCCAACTTAAAACTTGATGAGGGACAAGTTTAGATTTACTATGCATAGAAACGATAAGATATGCAAGGAACCAGAATAAGAATTAAATAAATGAGATGAGATGAAAGTACCTTATTTTGACATGACAGATAACTTTCCCCCCAGCCACCAGATGAGACTTGTTTAGACAACAAAAACGTACATGCCTTGCGGATGCTGGAAGAATTATTGTAGTTCCTTCCCGCAGCTAGCAAGCCAAGCACCCCAAACCAAGTGCCATAGGTGAAGCAAACTGCCCAAGAGCCATACCTAAAAAAGAACCTCAGACGCTAAATACAAATCGATGATTTCACAAGAAAAACTGTGGAGGTGAAATTGCTCATTATACATAGAAAAATGTGTTGGTAGTTCCACTGCATGTTTGAAAAATGAGGATAACAAGAACTAACCATGAGCCATCTGTTTCTTGAATTGATTCAATGAAGGCGGCAGCTTTAGCAATACAGCGTTCGACTTCTTCCTTACGATGGCCAGGGTATAATTTCTTAAATGCTGTTAAAGCTTGAATTGCAGCTGAGGAACACTCTACATAACTGTATAGTGACAAAGCTTTGTGGTTAACAGGAATCTGGGGATATATTTTGTACGTATACATATACTGCTATACAAGAAACAAAGTCAAATATAGGTGCAAATGACTTACGGGTAATCAATAACAATATCTCCAAAAGTCTCAGCAGGGTTGATTAGCTGAACAGGAAAAATTTATTCCAAATCAACAAAGACTTGAAAACTTGCATTATACATATCAAATAACCAGCAAACCACCAATAGTCCAATACATCCATGTAACATTATGTCATGTCCAAGTACAGAATGAAATGTTTGTGCAAGATCCACTTTAATGATTTTCCCAAATTCTCTAGCACCTCAGTCCAAAACATCAAAAAAGGACAAACGTATAAAAATGTCATTGTGGAAAAACTTTTCATTTTCCTTACTACCCTTTTAGTTATGCTAGGCATTAATTCACAACTAGCCCATAGATGTCAAAGTATCCAATGTTTGGCAAATTGTTAACTTCCTAATATGGACTTAGGAGTCAGAATGCACCAGACACCCCAGCAAATAAGACTAGAGAAAAATGTAGATGGCCATCTAGTGTGGTCTATGTCATTGAACTTATTAGCTAAAGAAAGGTGAAAAGTAGCTAAAGAACTTAGGACACAAACATAAAGTGCATCATCCTACTGCAGCAATAGATGACCAATTGGGCCAAATTTTCTTTGTTTCCTCCATGAGACCTAATGAAACCCGCTTGATGATTCACTCTTAACTTGTAGACAGAGAAGCACTCACCTTAGTATTAACTGTAAAAGTTCTATATATTTTACGTTTAAATCTTTTGATTTTTGAATAACATGAAGATTAGCTCTGATACATACAAATCAGACCAACTAGCACTCCGCCATGCATTGATGGACAGGTGGTTCAACACTAGCACTTCACCAGGTTTTTCTATACTAGCGAGACTTGCGAGCAGAGTTTTATTGTAGTCGTATAAACATCTTTAAGAACAAACGATGACCATAATCTCTAGTGGAGTGTAATACGAGCCAAAAAAAGAAGCCATAAAAATTTAGAACTCCCCCAGAGCAAAATAAGAAGAAAAAATTATCTAGTTTTCTTTTTCTTTTATAGCAGGAAACAACTTCAAAAGTAAAAACAAGAATATGCTAGCCTACTAAGCATGAGCGGAATCATATTGAATAAAATGGTGTATATGAATCCACCAACTTGACAAAAAATGTTATTATGTGTAAAAGCAAAAAAGCTATGACATCGAGAATAATATTGTCTAAAGGGAAACATGAAACAAATGTAATTTGCAAATGAAGTACCTCCAACCATGGATATGACCTTGAGAGTTCATATGTTGCAAAGCCACCACCGCTATTCTGCATATATACCAGGAATAAGATTTTTTAGTGATTCACAGCACTGCAGTTTCAGGAACAACATATAACAAAAAATTATCTCAAAAACTTCAGAAAGGCATAGATTTTATCAGCTGGATTTAGATAAAGAGCCTAGAGATGTGGCCAAATAAGCTCACTGTCAACTGGTCGGATAACTTCAAATTAATCTGCTCAGAGCATGCTTCAATAAATAAGTACTTTTAGTGTTCTATGGAATACGGGTTCAGAGGTAAAATTTTAAAATTCAAGCACATCAACTGGAATTAGCATTTACAGTTTCATAGAAAGGACAGAACACACAAGAAGACCCAGATCGTTCTTATATCCCAAACAAGTTAGTTTATGCGAGACTACCTTTGGTAGGTAGGAACTAATAGAAGTTGTTTTACTTTTACATGCAGTTGACGGAATGCAGTTTCGAACTTGGGCAGGCTGGGAAAATTATGCCTTTTTCACCACTAGGCCAAGGGTCACACTTGCGTTAGTGGGGTCAAAAGTTAATATATAGATATAAAATTTTAAAAACTGATTAAATATACATATATAGGCGGTGTTATTTTTCAACGAAGTGGGTTCATGTGAACCCACTTGACCCTCTGTGGGTCCGCCCCTGATGGAATGTAGCGAAATAGCTTTCAAGTAACAGGAATTAAGAAGAATGGTATCCAAGTTATCTACGGCATGAGTTAGGAATGCAATCTCCCTTCAAGTCAAACAAGCTTGATTTAGCCGTTACGAAACCAAATTAGGCCAGTTTACAGTAACTAATCTGCAAGGGCAGTTGACAGAAATCATAGCACGTGCTCTTATCTGTGTTTTATTAGAATATTTACAGAAGCCTGGGGTTAAAGCTATGTTAATGCCTCCTGTCCCTTTTCGGTGACATTGCCTTAAAACTATCAAAGTAGATTCTGCTATCCAGAT